TTACTGGGGAAAGTCATTTTATTTTGTATTTTCTACAAAACTTTACTCAGAGGGAAATAATATCTATGCATTATGATGTTATATAAGTAGATATTAGAAGTCTGCATGTTCACAGGAGGCCCTTGTTAAATTTTTTGCTATTTTCCCCACCATATAACTTCTTTGTCACTGTGCTAAACCTACAAATTTTTCAACCGACCACATCAGCTTATCAGGAAACCAAAGGGAAATTTTTCATAAAGCCAAGATACCTGTGTTAAAGCACAAAGTCTAATTTTCTGTGCAGTCCCATGATGGAAAGCTTGTGGCAAAATCCAAACATTTACTGGTAGAATTAGTTATAACTGCCAGCTGCATTTAATGAATGTTAGAAACTGATGCATAAAGCTGCTAACCGTCCTGTTACTGTATGTTGAAGTGATGCATATTGACTGATTCTGGCAAAGGTATCTTTTGACATGAAGGCAAACAAAGTCAAATTTATACTTATTTGACCACAGTTCCTCTCGGTGAGATCGTAGGTGCACTCTTCCCCCCTAATGATTGAATGGTTGTGGGGTGTAACAACTGATTCTTGCCATTTGCTGAGCTATCAAGATTTAACAGATTAAACCTAAAATAAAGAATGAAAATTACTGCTTGAATCTGTCTGTAGTTGGCCTTTTGTCAGTGTTCTGATATTACATTAACTTATGGTTTATATTGAATGTCAAGATTCCTTTTTTGATATAACAGTATGAACTGTTTACAACATTTTCCCCAGTCTACTTCATAGGGCTTTTTGCATGTACAGTAGTGATCTTTCCTTGGTCGATGATAAAGAGATTAACCCTAAATAACTATGATAGGTTTAACAGCAGCTCCTTGTGAAAGTTTAAACAGTTAATCTCTGCTAATACAATATGTATGAACATTTTTAGTTGAAACTGTTTGCAATAATCTGCTAATGGTACCGGATTCCATACTGTAGCACTTAGAATGAATGCCCTATGACACCTCTCCATTAAAGGAATAAGAACTGCTGTCAATAATATCTTTGCTGCAGTTTACTTAAATAAAACTCAACAAAAACGTAAATTTTTTGTCCAAATAATCTTAGCGTAATTAACTTGGCTATTTTAGAGACTGGGTTTGATATAAAGGAGAGGGATTCTGTCTTGGCTCAGCTATTTTTGGGCTAAATGCACGCTTCAGTCTCTGGAACCAACTAATCTGGATTCATGTCTAGTAAAGTCACCAAAAGTTTACTTCTTAAAGCCTTTTGACCGAATCCCACTTCAGATACTCTGAACATTTCCTGAGTGGTCATATGTAAGGAATGGTAATATGCAGAAACATCCATTACTCTGTTATTTTTGAGAAATACAGTGTTCTGTCTGTCACAGTTCATCCCTCTCCTCTCCCTCGCAGACACATGATGCCCTCTGGCTGTTCATGTAAGGCCTGCAGCCCAGAGTCCACACTGTGTTGTAGAGGGCATCTGCCATAGATTCACAAGCTGATTGAAGGGAAAAAAAGGATCAATAACTTTGTTAACTTAAGCACACATTAAATTGGTGGTTATTTTAATAACCAATAGCAATCTTTTACGAGCTTGTCACCTTGTACTTTGGAAACAAAGCCCAGACTCTTCTTCAGGTCAGAGCAGAAGCCATGAAGACATGAGCGAAACTTGGCATCACAATCGTACTTGTTCACACCGCAGGTGTCGTAGCACATATCCAGCTGGTTACAGCACTTTGTCATTGCAGGGATTCCCACATCAAGCTGCCATAAGAAAGAACTATGTTTCATCATGGTTCACCACTCTACAAGGTATTATTGGGGTAAAATTACATTTTTTAGGATGGTGCTATGAGCAGGCCACCTACAGCAGCATTCACCTGCAATCCCACCAGCGAAGAGCTGCAGCCATTGGGTTCTTGGTGCTTGTAGCCAGGCCGAGGAAGTGGCAGTTCTCCTATGAAAGCAAACAGGCTCTGTTAAGCTTTAGGATTAACAAACACTTCTTAAAACTTAAACCTTAGGCCTCCATGTATCACTGTGATTTAGTAGAATGGAACAGATAAGTGCATGACTTTTAAGTGAAATTAAAAAGATGCATGGATATAAAAGTTACATATTTTCAATAAAGTACTAGAACTGTCATTCAAATGTATATGCCCCATCTTTTTCATTGATAATCCCTAAATAAAGATCTGATCTTGGTTCTGTTAAAGGTATAGTGGAGGATTTTCACAGATTTTTGAAAAGACCCGTACTCATTTACATGCACAACCCTGTAATGCCTATTAAACGAATGCAAGAGCATGCAGCAACCCATTTCTCCTCGTGCACGCTCTGTTTAAAAGTTGCTATTTGCGTCGCTCATACAAGCTTAGTTTCAAAAGAAGATTTGCAATTTTTCCACTACAGTATGTCAGACTCACTACCGGTAAGTGAAAATGGGGACGAGCGCAACGGCCTTACGGAAACATATCACCAGAATGATTGACTATTAGAAGGACCACTTATTTTGATGATCCACCTGGAATAAAAACATCCTTATCTATACCTTTAAGTTCTCTTCTGATGTAAGTAGGTCTGCAACTCTGGTTTGAAAGCATCTACATTGATTGCATAACACAAATGACCCATGCCCCTCAACAAATGCTTTTAATTCAAAGGTCCAAAAGGACAAACCTTGTTGAATATGTGTGAGGAAATAAACCATGAGAACAGAAGGTTTTCTGTGTTTTTGCAACAGAATCTTTTGGGTTTAGGAAAAAAATATTGTTAATACCTCTGAGGGAACCAGAACCAATATAAAGTAAGAGTGCAAGATTGATCCTTACCATATCTACAGCGGTATTCACAGACACCATTGTGTCCCCCGACCAGCTCAACCAGGGAGTCAAAGTATCCGTTCACAGTTTGGAAGCTATCTCTTATGGAGTTGAGGCTCCAGCTGCTTGCATCATCTTGTTCCAGGGGTTTATTTAAAGCCTTGTTTGTCTGGACGGGCCGGATCTCATTAGCCTCCTCTTCAGATGGAAGCTGCTCCTTGGCAACAGCTTTCTTTTCAAGAGCTTCAATAGTAGCAGAGTCTCCATCAGGAGTATCCCTGTCTGTGTCTGACCCTTTGGCTTGGTCCACTTCAGGTAGGTCAGCTCCCTGATCATATGCTGATATTTTATCACTCAAAGCAGAATCTAGAGGAGCAGCTTGGGTGTTTAAAGCAGCAGCTTCCCCCTCTTCAGTGGCTTCAGTTTGGTAGTAACCCAAAGTGGCACTCATGCCCATGGACACACAGAGGAGGAGCAAAGCAGGAGTCCGAAGCAACATGTTGACCAGCTGGCTAAAATTCAAAAAGAGGTAGATCTCCACCAAGTGGGGTGTCTTCAGTCAGGTTTCAAAAGAAGGAAGAGCTCAGGCAGTGAAGGACAACACCAAGCTTAGTTCTCTCTCACTGTCAGCCTGAGTACAGACTTTGACCCCTGATTAGGTTCTTGTCGACAGCAAGGCACTCAGTCATATCAGGGGTGAAGGTCCGAGCATATCAGCTCATAGCAAGACTGCCCAAATTCAGCTAATCCTCTCATTTTTAGTCATTCCTGCACACCAATGGTCATTTTTACCACGGTTGATGGTCACATAGATGTGGATGTTTACAGCAGTATCACATGGAAAACTGAGGAAAAGCCTCAGTATTTCTTTTAATACCCTTGTGACCTTTCTCAAGACATCACAAACCTCAAACTATCTTTACTGGTTTGGATAAAGGTCACGGGCTGACAACTCAGCACTGAAAAAAACAACAACAGAAAAGCATAAAATTATCTTGTTTATTTGAGAAACAGGAAGTTTGCCGGTTTTATCTTTTTAGGACTGGCTTCAAGGGTCATTTATAAAGAGCAATAACAAAACAATAGTGAAAAAACTTAAAACTCAATCATTATAAAGCTACTGAAAGTATTTTCCTTTGTGTAGATTCCTATATTTCACCAGTGTTGGACTTTTTTCATGTTACTCTGCTGCCATCTTGTGTTTGGGGATAGAAAATCTAAATTTGCTCCTGCAAGAAAGTGCAGCTGTCGTCTGTTTACGGCTGTGTAAATGTTTTATAGTTTATTTGTTGGTAAAGAAGAGAAACTCACAAATGTATTCTTCAACTTCTGAATGTCTGTCATAAAAAAATATAAGGTACATATTAGGTTATAGTACATTTTTGAGGTTCTATCTGTTAATGAGGTAATAATATTTTTTAACTAAGATTTTTTTTTTTAGGTTTTTGATAAAAATTAGTAATTTTTCCAGTAACAATTTTTAATTTAAAATTTAAAATCATGAATATACAGTAACTGTTGATTTATGTAAACATTTTTGTTCAATCTAGAATAAAATCGCTAAGAAACCCAAAGTAAACACAAACCACAGCTTGTAAATGATAATTGTTTTAATCAATACCACGGACTTATCTTTGCCAAAGGAACAAGACAATTTACATTTGAAATAAGAAAAAACTATTGCACTGCTGTATTTCAAGTGCATATTATCAAATTGTCTTATTTTAAGAGAAAAAATACTCATTCCATTGGCAAATTATCCTATTTACCTACTCAAATTCAGGGTATTTACACTTAATTTAAGAAATGTTGATATATTTCTAGATCATTTTTGCAGTGTGGGCGGTATTTCAAAAACAACAAATATTGCACCAATCCATGAAAATCAACAACAAATAAGAAGTAAAATCATTATCTATCAGTCTGAAATCTTTTACAAAACCATGTCTGGTTAAAAATCTTACAAGAGTCCCAAGGAACTGATTTGAAACAAACCTAAAAATGTATCCGAAGGTAATCACATAGTTGAAAAAATATTTTTTGGATTGAAAAGTGGTAGGAATGGAAGACATATTTCTTGTTCCATCTGGCATAAAACACCATTTCAGAAAAAAAAAGTATCGTACCGGAAGTCAGGCATTGTGTTGATGGAAGGAAGATTATCCGGGACTGCTTTAGCTTTAGTCCACAGAGGACTCTCTCTCAAAAACTCCTGAAGGAAAATATAAATTAAAGACCTTAAGCACAGACACATACTGTAAGGGTTATGCAGAAGTATCTAAAGCACAGCAACAACTCTTCCACTGTATGGCAAAAAGATTTGGAGGTGGCCTAGATTGTCATCACCTAATACAAATGAGATGTGTTTATTTATTTTTTTTCTCCAGGTGAACAGTATTTATATTGTAAAAACACGTCACAGTTAAGTATCTTTTTGGTAAATTTTTTAACTCTTCACTATTATGTCATTTTATACACTTTTCTAAGGTCCACATTTGTGTGACTACTTTTGCTATAATCTTTTTGCTGCTGTAACACCAGAATTTCCCCATTGTGAAACAATAAAGGGATTTTCTATTTTACGTTATTCTCTTCTTATCTATTCTATTCTATTCTATTCTATTCTATTCTATTCTATTCTATTCTATTCTATTCTATCAGAATCATACAAAGTGGCTGAACATTTCTGTAAAGTAGAGTGGGCCAAAATGAATCTACAGTAAAATAAAAAAGGAAATGCCAAAACATATACTGGTACCAGGTAATTATATTTATAGTGGATATACTTTCCACATAGGGCCAGGTGGATATGAATAACTTTTTCCCCATAAAAACAGTAATTCATTGTTCAAGAAAAGTATTCATTACAGTGTTCCAGAGAGCAATCTGAGGCAAAAGGTCTTACCCATGAACCCAGCGTGGAGATGGAACCAGTACTAGCAGTTGTCTGCTCTGACCTCTGCTCTAACAGCTATAGTCCACTACACCCCACCTAAATGAGTGTATAGTTGTGAAGTGGAAGACAAATAACAGTTCATGCAAAAAAAATTTTTTTTCATGAACATCGAGGTAAAGAGAGGTATCAAATTAGACATGAAACAAAAGTTTTATTGTAGAAGAAAAGTTCAACTGTCGTGCCTTGTTAGTGGTCGTCAGATGGTTATTCCAACCTATTAGTTTTAATGTTTCTGCCTGGAAATACACAAAACATTTAATTTTGCTAATCTGGAGGTTATAGAAAAAAGCAGGATGGGTTTAAAATATTTTTTAGGACCTTTAGATCTTGGACACGTCTTTCAGAAGCAGCAGTGGATGCCAGCCTTTTTTGGATCTCCTGCTCCATTTGTTGGATTTCCTTCTGCATATTGAGCACCTGAAGTCTCCTGAATTTGACTATGTTGGTGTGGTCGGTGGCGGTCCCACTGTCCTCCGCTCTACATAGGGATGTATCTGCCCACACACAGAAGGAAGAGACAACGTGCGTCAATGCAAAACAGGGAACAATGATGGGTCTGTTCTCACAGACATTCACCACTACAGGTGGTATGAAAGCAGTGCTTTCTTAGTGACACAACAAAACTCTTTTTTTATATGTGTCAGCACACTAAAGTGAAGGGTGATCATTTTCCTAGTGTGAAAACCTGAGAAATTGCATATTAATAAAGTCAGACTGTGCACTTCCTGCTTGCTCTGCAGGAGGCTATAGAATACATCAAATGTTTACATGTGGTTTACCAATGATGACGCATGCAAAGGTTGCAGTAACACTTACTTTTTATGCTATTTTGTTCTTGGTCTCTTGCGGCTAAAAGGTTTGTCAGCTCATCTTGGAGTCTGAGAAACAATAAATAGAGTTAAGGTGCGAGAACTTTAAACTAGAAAACATTTTCTGGTCTTTTGTTGTTAAATAAACAGTACCATTTGTAATCCCTCAGAGCTCTTCTTGTCTTTTCCTCTATCCTGCAAACTTTTTTTTCTGCCTCGTCCATGGCTTTATCACTTATTGCAATCTCTCCAAACTGTTTCACTTCGTCTGCAGCGACTGCAACACAAAAAAACAAAAAACCCCAACAAAACCACAAAAGACAACTGAATTATTTACAGCTTCTTGCTAAACTATAATTCAAATTCAACTTTCAACTTTATGTATTTTTTTAATTTAAAAATCTTATATGTTGAACTATTAAAATTCTGCATGTGTTAACACTTTCTAAAACCCACTTTGAATGCAAAGATGTGTGTTTAGGATATGCATCTACCAGGTTTCTAATATCTAGAAATGCACTGCAATTTGGCCCATATTTCTATGCTAATTAGATCAGACTGATGGGTTGGACAGGAACTGGGACCGTCATTTGAAAACTTTCCCAGAGATTCTTAGTCATGTTTAAGGCTGAACATTTTGTAGTACAATAACTACACTAAAACCATTTTATTGATTATTATAATTTCTGTTTTGTGTTTTTCTGGAAGCAATGGTGGATTCCAATATGGCCGATTAGGCTTCCCTCCCAGGGTGGGATGTCCCCAGCCAAGTTTTCTATTGTTTGATTGCCAGTCCTCTGAAAAGGAAACAGCCACCCTATGTGACATGCATAATGTAAGCATTAAAAAATATATTACTGTGCAGCATGTCTGGCCAGTGAAGCTAAATGTTGGTGTTTTTATGGAATCTTTGTTGTATTCAATTATCTTAAAAACTTACACTGAATAAATCTGAACTAAATGGTTAGAGAAAAGCTTCCCTATATTGTTATGCTGCAATTTTATGATATTTGCTTTGTGTATGAATATCACACCAGCTTGTTGGAAAATATTCTGAGGGTCTTGGTTGTTCATTAAAATATATGACGATTTAATGAATAAAAAAAAATACATGAGATGTAGGTATGATTATGCTCCCAATTTGTTTACTGTCCACACGTTAGAAAAACCCTAAACAAGTTTTGTTTTTCATTTTCATTAAAACTGTCCGTCAGTAAAACGTGAAAGCATTTTAGACTTCAATAATTTACTCTAATGTTACAAAACATCCTCCTAAAAAAGGACGAGACTGTAGGACAGGATTTTTGACTTTTTAAATGTGATGTTAGTCCAACGTTTTGTTTACATTTACACCTCATATTCAACAGAATCTGTAGGCTTTTATTCATCCATGGCAATTAGCCAAAATGATACTGTCTGAAACAGTGTTTTGGATTTACTTCTTACCATATTTCCTTTTGAGGACTGGGAGTCCATCAGGTGATTGATGTATAAATCATACTCAGTCTGGAAGAAAGGAAAAAAAATACATATTTCTCAAAATTCAGATTTAATTATTCCAGGAAGACTGAAGGAAACTAAATGCACATAAAACACTTGGATGATTATAAAGCAAATATGCATTAATATTTAGTTGATTAGAAAATGAACTACTTTCATTTTGCTGTTTTGTCAGATTAAAACTGCTGATATTAAACAGATATTAAACATATTTTTCAATTAAGCCAACATTTCTTAAAGGTGTTTTTTGTGTACCTTGTTTTATCTTAGTTTTGAGTAGCTGTATGTCTGAAATATTCATATTAGACATGATTGTGAACATTAATCACAAAGTAATCTTGTTAAATAACTGTGAGGCACCCTGCAAATCAAACTAACACCTAATTTACTCATCAGCAAAGTTCCTACTTAATTCTAGTTGACAATTTGAATTGTTCTCTTTACAAAAATACAGTAGTATACAGTAGCTTATTTAATGTATTGTACGTATTCTGTAGCTCAGAATTTTAGCACGAACCATAAATTTTTAGATTAATCTCAGCATGTTTTATTTATTCCAGACTAGTTTTTATGTTTGGCTTGTGACTTTGTTGTGTTGAAACATCCAGGTTTGTCCAGGTCCCAATCATCTCATGCAAATCAGAAACCCAATTATTTAAGAGTTTAAGAAAGCAACCAATGGTTACGGTTATATTAAACCATAAGTTATTGTGACACCAGTGAACGAGTCCAGTGTGAAGTGAGCTAAACAGAAACCAGGGCCGAGAAGCTTCTGACCAAAGAAGGAGACACTTCTTCATAACTAACACCTTTAAAGTCGCAGCTGTCCACATGAATGAGCCAAAGGCCCTCTGTAGAGGAATTTAATGATCAGTGTAGACAACATGTTGGAATAATTAAGATGATCCCAAATTCAACAACTTCAGTTTAGATCAGCAGCATCCAAATATTAGTGTCTGAGTCATATTTTATTTAGCTTGCCTTTATATTTCGACCCTGGTTGAAGTTGAGAACTTCCACAATATATTGAAACATTTCCCTGCAGTTCCTGTCCTTTCTTTACCATTATTGAGTTGTTTACATCATTAAAAGCTGATAGCAGCGTTATTGTCTTCTTGACAGTAGATTTACATCAAACAATCACTCCCATTTTGACAGAAACAGTGAAGTGTAGCGCTGCATACATGTTTCACTGACAGAGTTGAGCAGCGCTCTCATGTGGAAAAAGAAACTTCCATGAAATGATACATTTCCATGTGACTGAGCAGTGACTGGGCCCTCTGAAGTCCTGCTCCCTGACGCATGAAGACCAGGTTCCGCTGGTTGCTCTACTTGCACTCGCTACACCGGGGACTCACTCTGTTTTGGCTCAGATACATCTGACGGCACATGCTAAAAATGTGCAAGTGGGTACAGAGGAAATGGAAAAACCTTGATTTCCCTCAGGATGCGTCCAAATACTGGCAAGCCTTCACATACATCATCAAAGACGTCACTGAACACCGCAAGGCGGTCTCTGCTGGGCCAGCTCGGGGCTGACAGCTTCTTCAACTCCTGAGTAAGACAGCAACACACACACACATACACACACCAAGCATTAGCAAGTGAAAATGTGTCTGCGCCTAGTTTCCTAATGTCATGCTTTGGGTAACTGTTTTCAACTCTTGGAGTTTCCTCTCGTACAGTTCAGCAACTTCATCTCCCTCCCTAACATTCTGCATGGCCCTCGTCAAACCTCAGCTTCACCTCTAACTGGCCTTCAGTATCTGAAGTTTCATTGTTCGAATCATCCAAGGTAAGTTCTAGCTTTGCTTGAACAGATGGAGAGCTGGATTCTTCCTGCGAAGCATCTTTTAGCCGTTGTGACAAAGAGTTTGAAGAAGAACAAGCTACTTCAGTGGGAGCCGTGTCCTTTCTTGTGCCTGCACATGACGAATAATCTCTGATCTGATCTCGTTTTGACCTCGAGACCTCAGATTCCACTAAAGCAGCGCCGGAGGTGTTCTCTTTTTTCCTAGCACAGCTCAACATCTGTGGCTGTCTTTTCTTTGGACTTTTTTCTTTTCTCTGAGAGGTCCTTGAGAAACACAGCTTGGCTTCTTTGGAGGACAGACTCTGGTTCATGCTGCAGGGCCCGAGATGGCTCAAAGAACAGAAGGGGATATCCAGTATCTGAGCAGCCTCGGCAGCAATCAGCAGTCTGCAGACGTCGCCTCCAAAACACTCATCTTTCTATTGACACTTTGGAAAGCTGCTTTAAAGATACAGATAGTGTCAAATTTTCAATATATAAGATAAAATAGATATATCTTATATACCTATGAAGACTTTATTTAAATCACCGTAGGAGAACTAAATAGAAATACAATCTAATTTCAATCGGAAATATCTGCAATATGTTATAAAGTATAATTGTATCAACTTAAGGACCTTTATCGATCTCTACTAAAGTAGAAGCCAATCTATTAAACGTCCTACCACAAGCATTACAGTAAACTGAAGTGATGTCAAAAAAAGTATCAGTCCTGTTTAAATATTTAAGATCACCAAACAAATTGTAAATATCAAATAAACATACCCAAAGAATTAACAAAATCAATCTTCAAATGATGATCTCATTTATTTATGGACAAAACTATCCAAAGCCAAATGGCCCCACTTGACCCCAAATCCTAATGATAGTTGTCTCTTGTCCTTGGATAACAATGGGCAGTAAGCGTTTTTTTTTTTTAAACAAAATATTGTCTTTTTCATTCAAACAGAGGTGCTGTTAAGTTAACTAAAAAAAAGCTTGTATTAACAGACTCAATCTGTACTTTAACTAAACCACACTATAGAATCTTAATCTCATTTATTCTGAGAATCCAAAGGTAAGCCTACAGTTGTTCGTTGTTTAGGTATAGAAGTCTCAAAATGGAAACTGTTCTCCTCCTGTCTTTTTCCTTGATAGTTGAACCATGAACACTAAAGCAATTGTTGTCTGCAGTGCTATATGTTACTCTGTGTTCTTTGGAGACCTCTGGGATAAGTAGTCAGTAGAGTCATGGAGAAATTTCGTTCAGCCAGACACTCCTGGGAAAGTTCACAACTGTTCCAGGTTTTCTCCAAATGTAGATAATGACTTTTACTTCCAAAGCCTTGGAAATTACTCTGAAAACCTTCCCAAATAGAGGGGTCTGAGTGACTTGTTTTAGGTTATTTAATTATACAGGTAGGACTGAGTAACAAAGATATAAATCAATATTATCCGAAATAGATAAATAAATCGGCTTAATGTGTAATTTAAATAGGTCGGCTGCTACTTTTCAACATAGGTAAAGCTTGGTTTAGCTATAGCTTTCAATTAATAAGTAGGGTTAGGGTTACAATTCGTGTTGATAATCTTAAACATTGAGGGAACGAAATTTAAAACAACAAATGTTTTTTTTAGAGGTTTTTCTAAACGTTTGTCAAATATTCTTAATAAAAAGTCTCCAAAAATTAATGAACCTTGATTCAGTTTTACCTTCAGAAGAAATCAGGAACAAAATCAGAAACATTGGTGTTTTATTTACAATGGTTGCCATGGCTACCAAAGGACGTCATGGCCGTGTTGCGTTAACTGTCCTGGCAATTGTCGTACAAAGGAATTTCTTCTGTTACAATGTTTGCACATGTTTACAGCTGTCAACGCAGTAGCGTTAATTACTTATCAGTGGACAGTTTTTAACCCCTTAAGTAGGGCTTAGAATCCCCACATAAAAAATGCAAAAAGAACATTCCAGTTTTCATATTATAATTATATTAAGGTTTTTATGTAGTAAAGATAACTTTTAGATAGATATGTTTGCTACTTTCTTCAGATTAGTCATACAAGCATTTTCTCGATACTGTAACCAGTCAGCTGTATAGTATTTATTTTATTTTCTAGATATTTAGCAATAATTTGATGTATGGTTAAGCAAACATTTAGGATATATCTAGAATCAAAACTCTAAACCAGCTTAAATCCCAAGTGTTTCTGGTTTAGCTGTTGCTCTGTCTTAATGTTAAATGATGAGCTACTAGTAGTAGCTGCATAGACCACCAGTATTCTTTGTAATCTTCCAAAAACAGACGCTGTGACCGTCAAATATCCTGTCCTTGTTCATTCCGTTTGACTGTTTCCCTCAAGCTGTTAAACCTCAACAACTTCCAGACAAACTCTGCAAATTGTGCTTACAGTGGAAATTTAATTTTCATGAATATCCCCTCTAAAAAAAAATTCTTGTTTTTTCTTTTATGAACAGTGTGTTTCTGTGTGTAAGACTATGAGGTTGCAGAAAGTTGGGAAAAGGGAGGGAGGAGAAGAAAGAAAGAAAAAAAGGCCTCAGGGCCTGGAGTGACCAGAATAGGAAAGCAGATGGTAAAGGCTGAACACGAAGAGCAGAGTGACATGTTCTGCTCTAGTGCAAAGAATGACACGGTATGCACACGCTTTGCTTTCTTCTATCATCTAAATCATTTAGTGTAAATAAAGAACTAATCAAGATCCACCGCATTTGAATTGTTGTTGCTGAAAACATATAAAAGGTTCAATTTTCACTGCAGGTCAGATGACATTTATTTTTTTATTCTCTATTTATTGCACCATATATGAAGAACTTGCAGATTAACTGAAATAAAAACAAAGTTAGAAATAAAGATTAGATCAAGTAGGATACTTTAGATGGCCTGGTTAATAAGGATACGTTTTAGGCATCCTTTAGAAATTGCTGTTACTATATTTAAGAAAATAATACAACTACAAATTAAATCTGTGAATATGGTTCTTAAAGCGAATAACTTGAGCTATTAGATGCTACTAGAAAGTGGTCAATGAAATAAAACTAGACTGTATGTCACCAAAATTAGAGTCAATATCAGATATGCTGTTGTGTCTGCAACAGACAGATAATTTTTTTTTAATCTTTTGAGACCTGAGCTGTGGAAATGTGACCTCTGGTTTCTCTCTTACCTGTCAGCGAAGGCGGGCAGCCATGTTTTTTAGGTTTAAACTTGTGCTGTTATTTTATTTTTTTTTTACATTTTAAGATGATTGATTGATTAGTAATGTACTGTATTAACCAACCTTAAAAAGACCAAAAAATTGCAAATTACCCTTTTAAAAGAATGTAAAACATTATTTAGAAAAAAATAAATTTGACAAATGGATCCAATTACAGCAAATAAAACGACATGGCTCACTTGGGGTTAGACATTTTACATATTTTCTTAATTTACAGTTCAGTCATTAAGAAAAATATGCTGTGAGAATAAAAGGGAAAGAATGATTTGGCACAGACATTTTTTTTTTCAAAGATGTATTTAATAAAAGTCATTTGGGCTACGGCTCTTACATTTACAGTTGAGACATTCCTCAGTTATTCTTGGTAACAGTAACATGTCTAGACTGTTTAATTTATCTTAATGTTTACTTTGTACAAAACAGAAAAAAGGCAAACATTATTCTTCTTTGTATAAAAAATATAAGTTAATTTAAATTTAACTCTAAGAAAATAAAAACAGTAATGATAATAATGATGATGATAAAGATCATAAGCTAAACATAGTGCAGACAATGGGATATAACTGGTGCTGAAAAGGAGGAGGGACAGTGCAGCGACTTTACAACAATGTTGTCTGGTGGGGTTGGAGTGATTTAAAGAGGAAGGCGTCCACACACGCAGTTCCACAAACCTAGTGAGAAACTGCACAATTGCCGTTCCATTTAGCACCATCAAGGCATTCATCTCTTCCTCGTTTGTACACACTACTCACCTTTTACTGCAAATGCAAACTCTCACCCACTCTCTCTATACATACGTACATAATGTATATACCTACAAAACTATCTCTATGTATCTACATATATATATCTATAAATATATAGATAGATAGAGAAATAGTTAAGTTACATATAAATATATGTAAGGTGCATGCTAATTGTTGCTCTTAGGTTGAAGCTTACTGGAAGCAACTCTGAAAAGACAGTAAGACCGAGCACATAGAAGATGGAACTGATGATGCACACAAACGCAGCTCCAGCAGGAATCTGCAACCAATGAAAACATTCATAAATGTGATGCATTCACAACACTCGTGGGGGCGGTGGGTGGGTGTTTGGGGGGGGTACAGTACCAGCCATACAATAACCATAAAAAAAACACACTACAACAGTTGAGCAGAGACTTGAGTTTGAAAAAATAGATGAGGACAAAACAGTTTGTCTTTTTGGAAGATCTTGGAAACTTATTAAAAAGAGTCCGATCTTATCTTCTTAGTTTGATTTAGGAAAAAAAAGTTTTTTTTTTAAAACTACAGCCCATGTGTCACACAGTGGCAAAAAAAGGAACACTCCTTAGGTAAAATCCCAGAGACATGATTTAAATAGGTTGAAATCATAGGAAACCTTGAATGGTGTTCATTATTATTTGTTGTTATTCCTGCATGTCAGCTTCAACAAATGTAAGGTTGGTTTATGTGCTTAGTGGCGTGAAATATAGCTGTGTTCAAAATAGCAGCAGTCCGTTATCACTTTAGGAAATCTATCCACAGTTTACTTGTTGGTGAAGTAGAGAAGCAGAAGACTAACAGAACTAAGATCATTGATTCTGTACAAAAACATGTAAAAAAACATTTCCTGAAAAGGAAGGCAGTCAAATGTTGCTCATTCTGGTAATAGTGTAATCCTATTTAGAGTGTAACTCAATAGATTCAAATGGAAATGATGTTCAGTTTAAGTTTTAAAATGAAAGCTACAAACAAATGGCAGAAATTGGAGCACTGCTATTCCAATTGATCCAGTAATGACCAAAATCGAAAAAAACTCACTAAATAGACACTCTCTAAGAACTGCAGCTGTTAAAGGGTTTTTTCTTTCATCAAGGGTTAGGGTGGAGTGATTAAAGCTTATCAAACACCAACTGCCCCTAAGAAACATGGAGTAGATATTTAAAAATTAATTAATCTGAGGTTGTTTTGGAGTCTGAAGACTAAGAAGAGTTTGTTGGTAAGAAATCTTTTTTTTTTCCACCTGAAAACACCACACAACCAAAGGGGCTTATATAAAACACTGAGGCCTGTTGATGCATATTCCACTTTTATTCCTTTATATCTCTTTGCTGCCATCTGTCAGTCATATTTGTGCCAAATTAGGCTTGATATCTCTAATTTTCATATAAACACCTGGATTTAAATCTATTGCAATGACTACATTAAACTTAACAATATTTAATTTACAGAATCTTTTTTTGTTGTTGTTTGTTATGAAAATCAATCCAAGGACTAAATAGTTAAAACAACACTACCAGTAACTGTTCAGTATTGTAATTCCAAACCTACTAGATAAAGTGCCTTTTAAGCCCAATTGTTTACAGTTGGCAGAAGTCGGGTTGACTCCATTTAACACAGATAAGAAGCCGTTTTTGGAGACAATTTGAGTTTGAAAAGAAAGACGCTGTTACTTACTGTTTTTGAACAGCTAATCGTCTCTTTTTCCTCTCTTTCACAACCAGATTTGGTGCTTTCTTTATTCATGTGTTGTTTTGGAATAAAACGTGCCATGTTCCAAAAAAAACTCTTTTCTGAGCTTTGCCCATTTTTAAAACACGCTGCTATTACTTTGAACACAAGTATTATTGATGATGCAATAAATGAAAGGGAAATGCGAGTGTCGATCGTGGATAATGCAGTCTTGGCTTAAAATAAAGGGGTGGGGTTTGGATCCCGGCGATCAGAGGGATGTTGGTGCAGCTGGTTTCTAAGTGCTCAGGGCTGAGGAGCTGCAGGGACCACCTCACACTTTAAACAATGTGACTCTCTTATGACTGATCCCAAATCATCCATATTTCTAGAGAATTTCTACAATCTCCACATAGAATATACTTAGATATTCAAGTACTGCAAAGGATCTTAACCAAAAGAACAAAAAAAGTAAGAGTAATTGCAAACACATTCTAATCTCCGCCTTTTCAGTAAGATGTTGCTATACCAGATATCTGCTCTACACATTCCTTCTGTCTCTGGGAATCTCTTGCTAAAGTAGTGCGAGTGCAATAAACTCAACACAGAAGGCAAAGAGTACCATTTCAAAAGAGCCTGAACTGAAAGGAAAATTCACATATCCTAGCCTGTTTAGGGGCTAGAGTAAGGCCTCTTCAAAAACAAGACCATAACAGAATCATTTCAAATGAAGTAAAATGACAAGAAATAGGCAAAAATAATTAAAATAATACAAAAAAAATCCAAATATAATACAGGAAAAGACTCAAGATCATTCTATCAAATAAAACTTCCCCAGCTGAGAAGACGCAGGGCGATGGGCTGAAATCCTCCCCCGACGGACGTCTGTCAGTCTCTGGGATCGGTGAAACCGTCAGTGTGGACTCCTCCGTCACCCAATGAGGTAACTGTGTGTTATTCAGAGTCAAGCCGCTTTAAACGAGTCAAACTCCTGCTGACACAGGATGTGGTTCTTCCCTGCCTGCCCCTCCAACAACCCCCCTCACCCCCCGCCGTCAAATGTCCAGGTCCGTGGCAGGATTTAGTTTGTTTATTTCTTTGTTGGGTCAGAGACCCCTTTGGTAGTCAGTTATCCACCTTAACGGGGCCTGAATCACAGGGCCGAATGGGCAGAATGTCTTCCTCCTCTCCTCGTGATATCTGCTCCCAATGGTTAAGGTTCTCCCTGGAAACAAGAAGTCATTAAATCAGATGCAAACCGACATTTTTTTTCTTTTACAATGCTTTTGAAAAACTATTCACATCCTTTAACCAGCTTAGATTTTGCGACATCACAAATATAAACTTCAACTTATTCTTTTGGGATTGATAGACCATAATTAATAACATGAACATTAAAATTGGTGGTTTTTCTGAATGCATTCATAAAATAAAAATAGTAGAACACATTTTTATTCAGTCCCCTTTACTCTGATACCTCTACAAATAAACCCTAGAGTAAGGAATCGCCATCTAGTAAAAAGCGCAGATGAATCTTTAATATATTATCATTGGAAATCGGACTGTTCCAAAAAAGCCACAAAGTTTTTTTTAGGAGAACATTGGTGAAGAAAAGCATCAGAAAGTGTATGAACTACAGCATACTGACGTACGAGTGCAGCAACACAGCTGAACTTCACTGCTATCACCTTCAATTAGCCAGCCTGATGCAGTTTGCACGACTTTGGCAGATCCCACCATGAGCTGCAGGGCTCCGTGGGGTCTAGGCCTGCTGCCCACCCAGAGCCGGGTGCTGACGTACAGCTGGGGCTTAAACATTACACTGCTCGGTTTGTTTGCATTCCCCGCAGATCAAGGACACATTTTAAAAGAGCAGCAGAAGGGCGAGCAAAGGTGCAACAAAAAGCTGTTTAAAAAGCAGTAATAACAGCCATAAATACGTCCTCTAGCACCTGAAGTCAATGCATCACTGCAGGAGGAATGACAGCTTTACTTTTGTGTTCTCCTTTTCATATGTGATTTGAAAAAAAAAGGTATGATGCTGAAAAAAAGAAGCTGACATACTGTACCTCCCATAGAGCACTAGCAATGTGCATTTTTACACACACTCCTTCACAACTTTGATCTAACTTGATGGATTGATTGCATCTGTTCAAACCCTGGCTGTTTTCTCTAAGACCAAAATTGATTAATTCAAGGTCTGGACCGTTGCTTTTTTAAATAATCTAATTTCTAAATTAGTTCACTACATCAAACGTTGCACATAAAAAGCAAAAGCAAAGCAAAACTTACTTGCAGGCTTTTAAGAGGGGACCGGATGGAGGGAAAAGCTCTGAAAGTGTTGTGTAGCAAGGAATTGCCACTGAGTTGTAGAATCCCACCTTTCAAAAGGGGACAAAAAAGGAAAAGCACCTTAAATTTGTTTCATTGTTAAGGAACAAAAACATTATTATGGGAAAGGTTGATATTGTGTTGATATTTGTGCGATAAACAAATGTGTCGTCTCACCAGTGTGCAAAAAAGAGCAATGTGAGTGTATCTAATGGTGGCATTGCTGACTAATCGCAAACCATCTCATTGATGCATCCGTATTCGTATGAATAGAGCGATTAATATACAAAAACCACTAGTTAGAGCTACTATAAAAGGTTTTTGTCTATTTTTTACCTCAGGTTTAAAGGTCATTGTGCCAGCCAATCACATTGGTTCTTTAAAAAGGAATTTCTGCATATAATGATGAATGAGAGTTTAAGCCTCCAGCATATTTCCTCCTTTACAACTGAGCTACTTTATGTACTGTACACCTAGAATTGTAAACAATCTCAGCAACAAGATACAAATCTACAGTTTATGTTGTAGTGATAGCAATAGTTTGTTTTGGAACGTCTTACTTTTAGAAGTTTTCTTCCGTGATTATTCATTTTAGAAAACTTTAAAACTATTTCTGTTTAAAATATTTGTTTAATTGCAACCTAAATTCAAATATGGTCTGCAACTATTTTCTTAAAATAGTAAGTTAATCCTGTTCTGGCTCTCACCATTTATGCTTTTCTCTCTCTACAGTCCTCTGTTTACAGACTAAGTTCCCATCAGAGCATGCATGTCTCTGTGTGTGTGTGTGTGTGGCATACAAACCACACATATTCTGTGCTGGTCTTACTTGGCCCTGGGGAACCTCATCCTTCTTGTCTCTGTCCATCATAGGGATCGGCTGAATTCCGATCTTCTTCATTTCATCTCCCTGCAGAGGAACAAAACAACAAGACACCTTTTATTTTGTGCATAGTGGGGTAAACCTCCTGACCACCTGACAGCTCTATTTTAGGTGATCGGGGTTGTAGGACATGCAAAGTTAAAGCAGTATTTACAAGCAAGAATAGAGGCCTGACTGTTCAATCTGGAGGCATGATCGTGACACTGAACCTTTTTGAGCTCAAACAGTATCCCACTGTACCTCAGCCCAGAACTCAGCATAGATGTCGTTAGCTGTGAGTCGTGTGACTTGCCACCGCTTGGTAACAGAACACAGGTCACATGCTGTCATCATCAGACCAATCACACGGTCCCTGAAGGGGAGCAGAGCCTTGTTATGTCCATGGAGAAGATAAAAATAATTTAAAAAACCTAAAGCGCCATTTGGACACTTTTCTGGTGTGTTGCTGTGATTCGCAGCCTGACCTGTGGGTGTGGTTATTCAGGTCCAGGCCGCCTGTAGTCAGGAGCTCTGTGAGCTGCTGATGGTTGTTGAAGTACAGGGCCAGGTCGGTGGCAATGATGGCCTTCCGGATGATCTCCAGCACCTGCTCGTACTCGCTGGAATTCAGGTTGGAGAAAATATTGTGCCCTTCCAGCTATGAAAAACAGAGAGATCAATAAAAAAGCAAAAGCTCCACTTATGAGGCGTTCAGCTCCACTAGACTGCAACAGGTCTCAATAATCGGTTCACCTAAACCACAACCAGCAAATAAGAGATATTACAGAGCTGAAAAGTACAGTTCTAATTGTGCTTAAAAGTTTACATACCCTCCCATTAAAAAAATTATTAATTCACACTAGTAATTCATATAACTTAACACTGAAAAAAGTGATAATTAATACAAATGTACAAAATTAGAATTAACTAGTATAAAACATTGATATGCAATTTTAATTTAAAAATATGTGTGTAAAAAAAAAATAAAAAGGCCACAATCAGGAGGCAATGCAGGGAAGTGTCTTGCCCAAGGACACAACGACACTGTAAGCTGGAGCAATATATACAATTTGTTTCATCATTTTCAATTTATTTTACTGGCAGCTGATCTTTTTCTGTCTATTTTAAATAAAGAACTTTCAGGCACAGCTGTAAGTGCAGACATATGCATGCACACATAAACATGTTGTGTAAAATACATGCAAAATTCATGGACCTCTTTGCTTCTTCTGAATTCGTGCTTAAATGCTTCAGTGATATTGGAATTGGAATCGTCTGCATCATGCAGCCTCTTTCATGCTAAAAGTATTGAAATATTTAATCTAAGAACAGTTATTCAGAAGTTTAAGGGAAATCCATGTAACTAAATTTATTAAATTTATACTTTTTTCATTTTATTTCAATAATTTTTCTACTAAATTAAATCAAATTTTCTGCTTTCCTGGAGTATAATTACGGTGTTAAATAAAACCCCATTCCTCTTGGCCACTATCTGGTAGCAGCCATTCATGTAAAGCAGGTATGAGCTGATCTTTATAATTTGAGAAGTAGATACAAGGAAATGGTTGCTTGTCTCTATTGGGCAATACTTGTATTGCTAAAACAGCTTCCAGATTAAACAGAATCTGAGGCTTAATGTATCAGCACTACTCTAAATACATTCATAATGAAAATATTTAAAGTTCCCCAAGTCTTTAGTAGTGGAGCTCTACCTGCAGGATGGAGACAGTCTGGGAGAAGTGGTGCTGCTCCATGGTGGAAGTGGAATACAGAGCAGCCAATGGATGGTCGAACTTCTGCAGGTATGCGTTGCTGTACCCCCGATGATCCAGATCGTGACACAGACAGGCTATCAACAAACCTTTCTTCTGCAAAACAAAGATGCTCATTGGAAATGAAAAAACAGAATTGGCTAAAACTTAAGATCAATCTTAAACGAAACAAGAAGCAAACCTCTAGCTCGGTAAAAATCCCAGTGGTTTTCTGTAGGATGGCGTACATGCAGTGCGCCACCGTCACCGCATGCTTCCAGTTGTGGTAGGGCACACGGCGGTAGTTTTTCCGTACGGACATGGTGAATCTACAGAGCTTTTCCAGCTCAAAGCTAAATAAAGAACAAACAATGAATAAAGTGAGAAGCTGAGAGAATTATCTTCCTGCTTCTGTGACATTACCTGTTTTTTCCACAGGAGTTATGAACCATGTAGATGAAGACAGCAGGCCAGATATCTTCAAACGGACTAATGTCAAATTGAAACCTGGAGAAAGACATAAAAGTATCATTGTGCAAACTTTCAAACTGCTTTTTCCACAAAGGTATGGCGTAGACACAGAATTTGAATAACACCGGAACAAAATAACATGGCGGAGAAATCAGGTATAAAGTTGTGAAAAAGCTTTAAAGCAGACTTGGGTCTGAAAACAATATTCTGGGATTTGATGGGCTGAAAAGGAACATTAATCAGATAACGAGTCAATAGGCCCTTATAATTAACTTAGAGCAGTGATCCACAGCTCAGATGGAAGGCTTTGTCAAGTTTTACTCATGCAATACACTAATTTAGTATTTTAAAATACGGCAGTGGCAGCATCATGCTGTGGGAGATACTTTTATTCAGCAGGGGGAAGGAAATAAGCTTTAATAAAATGGTTTAAATAAATCTCTTTGTGAGAAAGTCCTAGTCAAAGTCCAGCACTAAATTCAACTGGCAACCGGGCATCTTGCAAGATTTCAGTTCACATGAAATCCTACCATGCTTTAACTTGTGCAACAATTTACATGTCTAAACAAGAAGACCTGTTGACGCATGCCACACAGATAGTTTCAGAAATATTTGAAATAATGCAATTATGTTCAGAATTATGCTCTACCTCAGCTTGTAGTTTCATACAAAGACTGCATGAATTTGGACTTTATATGAAAGCTACGTCTGCGACTTGACAAAAAAGGCAGAAAAGTTTAAAAGATGGAAGGACCTTTGGAAGGCGCTGTATTTTAGCACAGGCAGAGAACGGGTCACTCACGTTTCAATTTCTTTGTAAATGGGTTCAGGAAGGTTGAGCTGGGTGAGGGTCTTCCACTCCTCTGACGTGCAGATGCTGTGATACGACAGCTTTTCCATCGTCACTCTGTAGATGCATTCAGAGTGCCGGATCCTGTGGTACATCTGCAGAGTGACAGCAGGGAAACCACAGAGAGAGAATGGTTCTTTAAAACCAGAAATCCTGAACATGATACTAAACTCTTCATGCGTCACTACTGCAATTACACTAAAAGTGGGCTTTTCTCTCTGCCTCCCTCCACATCTGGTTTCTGTCCCTGTCCACTGCGCAGACAAACGGCAGAGAAAACGGCCAGGTACAGGCGCCGGGGACCTCGAACCGGGCCCCCCCGTAAATCACTGCGAATCGGGAGTCAGCCAAAGTTACATTTCCAAGAGATGTGGGGCATAAATCGCAACCCAACATAAATCCTGTCACTGGACGGATGTGAGAGCGCTCGTCATAAAATATTAAAATCCCGCATCGATTTAAAACACAACTTTGTGACGCCTCCTCCTGCGTAAGCATTTCTGACAGAGCTGACGGCGACTCGGGTGCCACAGAGAGGGCCCCTGACAGACAGACCACACATTGCTAGTGTTGGGAGTTTAACATGATTCATGAAAGAGATGATTGGCACTTTTTAATCATATTTTGAAGTAATGGACACCACAGAGATGAAAATTTATATTTCATGTCCACAGTAGCTTGTGAGCTGCAACAAGCCTTGACACAGCAGATGAGGGTGATGAAGATTGCATTACGCTGAAGTTTGATAGAAAATGAATAGCATCAGAGAGAGCATCAGTTTGTCCATCAAACACCCTTAGGTTTGTGTGGGGTACTCACATTTGCACAGTGTAAGGCCAAAGCACAAAAGACAGCAAACATCTTAAAGTTGTTCTCATCGGTTTTAGTGAAGGCACTTCCGCTTAGCTTGTTCACCATCTGCACCACACCGATAACATTCCCTCTGCTCACAATGGGCATGCACAGGATGTTCCGCGTGGTGTAGCCAGTTTTGAGGTCTACCTCTCTATCAGAGAACACACGAAGAAGAGAAGACATCAGTTTAAACGTCATCTTCTCGTTACTTAGAGCCTTGCGTATGAGACAATTGTTTTTGCAGAACTATATATATTTTTTTATAATATTTATATAGTACAAAGATGAAGAAAGAACTTACCGGTTGAACCGTGGGTCTGCATAGGCATCTGGGATATTTAAAACTTCTCCTGTCCGAGCTACTTGGCCAGCTATTCCTTTGTCTATAGAAAACCTACAGAGTCACAGGAGGGGAGAGACAGGCTAAATAAATAAAATTCACATGAAACACTTAGAGCGCAATGATTATGGTAGAGAGCCATGTATGAGCAGGGCTATGTGTAAACTGTAAACCAGGTGTTATTTAGACACTCCTTACACCATTTTAAAATTTGGTCCTATTATGACCACATCTGTCACTGTATTTTTTATGTGACAGAGAAACACATACCACATAACTGTAAAAAGGAAGAAAAAGAATATATATTATATTGTTTATTAAACTTCTGTAATCTGAAAAGTGTGAGTGTGCATCCAAAGGCACTGGTGGACTTAACTTTGACTAGAATGAATCAATCTCTTCAGATCCCTGAATGTTTTTCAGCTAGTGTTGCGCCGATGCCAGTTTTTGGCCTCAATATCGACACCTGATGCCTGGCTGTGCAGTATTGGCCAATACCGCTACCATTCCGATACCATCTGTTTGAAATTGATGTGTGTATATATGAAGAACTGCATACTACATGGATGTAAAATAATTGCCATCATGGCTTTGTGAAGCTGCTGCCTACCTTTATGAAGCAAGAAAAAGACTAATACAAAGTGAATCCAGCAGAACTTTTTATTCCCTACCTGGAATGGGTGACAATATTAATAAACATTTGGCTCTCAAAATGGATTCGGTGCCCTATTTGTTGGTACTCGCACATATCGATACCACCGTTTTGGTACTGGATCAGGCCCCCGGTGAAACACTAGTTTTAGCATCACCATCCTGTTTTTCTTTTTTTGGGGTGGCTGATTTTAGTCTTTCAAGATGCAAATAATGATTCAATTACACCCTCCATCGTGCCATTTTTTGAAGTCCATAGCCAATAGTTACCATGACGTCAGATTCTCCACATGAGCAGTAGATCTATGCTGCTCCTCTGTTATTGCCATAGGCCTCTAGGTTGCTGATGAACAGCCCTGATAGGTTTACAGCTGTGTTTGAATAATGGACTGAACAGTGTTCCTGTTTTTTTAAAAAGCTTGAAATCTTGTTTTTACACCCTTACCATGCTTAAACCTTATTCACATCCTTATCCCTGTCCAGTGAGCTGTGTTCCTTGGTCTTCATATTGAAATTTCACCAATGTTCTATAAAAGACTTCTAAAGCCTTAAGAGACAGCTGGATTTATTTATTAAAAAAGTGAACTTTGAGACCCATATAAGTTACACTGCATTTTATCTATGGGTTTCTAAGTATCTGCAATACAAATGCTGCTGGATATTTTTAGAGCCATGCATTACATTCCTTCATTTCATAATGATTTACTACTTAATATTGCCCTATAACTAGAAATCTGGCCAAGATGCATTCAAGTCTGTGGTATTTTTGCAAGTGATTATATGTGTTATCTCCAACTTCTTTTCTCTCAGTTGTTTTTACCACAATAATCTCATCAGATTTAAGAACAAGAATCTCTCTTCCGTAAGAACATTGTAGATATGTAAAAAAAAAAGTCCCTGCAGGGTTAAATAGAAGGAGCTTAGAGAGAAAGAAAATGTCAAACCTTATTTCTTTTGTTTTCCTAAACACGGGTTTGCCTTCTTTCTCTTCCCCGATGTCAAACAGGTCAGAGTACAGTTCTTTGTTGTTGTGATCTACCTGGAAGAGCGCACACCTGTCTGCGTTCACCAGGTTTTTTGCATATATCTGTAAAACAAAAGAAGGGGCAGAGGATTGTATAGCTGCACAGACTTCTAAGCAATCCTCATCTTAAATGCGGCCACTATCTCACTACTGTTTAAACCATTCGGGCAAAAAAATATACAAACAGATTATTTAAAGTGGACCCCAGTCTGTTTTACAGTTTAAACCTGTAGCCACAATAGAAACATCTCTAACCAGCTAAGGCTTTAGTAAAAGAGTCAAAAAACGAAAAAGTATTTTATACTTAGTGAGAAAGCTATTTTTTACATTACGACTAAGTTTCTCTAAATTATAAAAAGTTTAATCAGAAAACTGTTAATAGATGCTGTAAATTAGCTGCTATGATTTTTCTTGAATAGCTGAGAAGAGCAGGAATCACACTCACTCACCATAATGTGTTCAAGTAGAGAATCTATTGCCACAATGTTATCAAAGTATGTTCTGTGTAAAAAAAAAAACCCAAAAACAAAATCACATTGAGATGCTTGAACTAAAATAAAGATCTGGTGACATTTACATTAAACATGAGCTATAGAAACCATTTACAAGCATATTATAAAGGGGGATTTATGTCACCTAAAGCCCATTTTGTCACCTTAAAACCACAAATTTCAAAATGTTTTATTTGGATTTCATACTACACACCAAAACAAAGTAGTGCATTATTTTTCGTGGGAGGAAAATTTGTGTTCAGCCCCCATTACCCCGACAATCCTAAATCGATATCTGTCAAACCTATTTTCTGTTGAAGTAACCTAATGGGCTCTATGCACAGCTCCACTACTTCCTGAATTTAATGCAGCTCCTTTGTTTCCTGTCTTTCATTACTGGACGAACTGATTAATCCAGGTGTGTCTGGCCAGTTACTTAGGTCATACACACCTGGATTAATCAGTGCATCCAATCATGAAAGACAGGAAACAAAGGAGCTGCATTAAATTCAGGAAGTAGTGGAGCTGTGCATAGAGCCTATAGATAACTTCTGATAAACAGAGAGCATTAGGAAGACCAAGGAGCACAGTTGATATAAGTTTAAATCAGGTAGTAAGGCAGACCTACCCAAAACTGACTAGCCAGGCTAATAAAGTTCTACTCATAGAAGCAGACTAGAGGCCACTGAGAACTCTGGAGGAGCTGCAGAGATCCACAGCTCAGTTAAGAGTATTGTGCTCTAAGTGAATCTGGCCAAAACACAGGAGACCCCTTCAGGAGGAACCCCATCCCTTGACCTTGCAAGAAGCTCTGGATAGAAAAATTGAAAAAAAAAAAAAAAAAATGCGTGAAAGAAATCCTCTTTTTATTCTGCAATAAGTCACATAGAGGATGGAACACTACATTTGGTTGCTCTGATCACATGACACCCAAATACAACTTTTGGTCTACTTTCCCCCTAAAATAATCCAACCTGAAGTTAAATGTTGCTAGCGGCAGTATCATACTGAGGGAATCCGTTTCTGCTGCACTTTAGTGTTCAAGGGTTATTAGAAGAATTGAATACAGTCCAAATTTTTAGAGGCAACAATTGACTCGGACTAAGTTAAAGATTCACCTCCAGCAGGAAGGTACCTAAGTGAAATGTTTCAAGGTATATCACTATTTATATGCTAGTCAAAGTCCAGAACAAAATCTAATCAGAAAATATGATAAGATAAAGTTATTGGAGCAAAAAATAAATGTACACTGTTCAGATTTTTTTTTTAAATATTATTTGCAAAGAAACCTTTTTTAGTATTTAGGATGCCATGTATCATTTTTCTTGTCCCAGCCCCATTACGGACCACTTTGTGTTCATCTGTACCACAAAGTCCCGCCCCTAAAAATACACAGCATATACAAGTGAGCGGTTTTATTGTGACAAAACATGGAAAGGAGGGGTATAAATACTACCGCAGAAGACTATAAGTCTGTTAAAACATATAAAATCACTTTCAGATGGTGTTAACACAACCAGAATGTTTGTTTGGGACTTGCACTGTCATTAATGCAGTTAAAAAACTGCAGCAATTCAGAGCAAATTAACATTTCAGGAATGTGGTATAAACACAAAGTTTGCCTCTTTTCATTAGCTTTCATTGAAAGCTACAGAAGCAGATCACAGAGCAGCTCTTACTTTGACACATCTAGTAGGAAGTCATTAAGCTCAGTCTGTTTGGCAAGGCCTCTGCACATCTAAGAAAGAAAAAATAGGTCAGGATCAGATACACAGATGTATAAAGAAGTTTTGTTCTCAAAATACATGCAGCATCCAGTGGGTTATGTCAGTGAAGCAGCCCTCGGTCTGCAAACACGCCAACGGGCCGTTGTTCTGTAACAACAGATTGTCTAAGCAGGAGCTTCTTCCCCGCTAACCAAAGCTCAGAGGTCCACTGTGGCCAGAGCTGCAGTGGGACACCACTCCTCTGGGGTACTATGTTATCTTTATCATAAAACATAATGACGTCTCAGGGGAGCAGTTTGTTGAATGTATGGTCTTGTTGATTGGACTGGGCACAGTGACAACCCGTTCCTGTACACAGTGGATTTCCCCAGTGCAGAACCAGAACAAACAATGTCATCCACAAGCATAATAAATGGAAGGGTACACCTTGTTGCCAGAGGCTCAGACGAAGCCCAGCAGTGCATCATATCTGTTAGAAGGGACTAGTTTAAAATCAGACCAGACCTTTGTGAAAGCTTGCCTACCTGTACTTGATGAATGGCAACAGATGCCCAGGCTAAATTTGCTGTTGCAACCTGCAAAAAAGGAAAACTTGGCTTTAAAGTTCTACAAAAAGAAAATCATTACATTCATGCTACTTATGATATGTTTAATTTTTTAAATATTCAATATTCAGACAGACAACAGTAACTCCTGCTCACACTACACTGCAAAAAATTTTAAGTCTAAATAAGTAATTTCTTTCCTAAAATAAGTGCATTTTTTTAATTGTATTTAGTTTTATTTAATTTAATTTGTAAGTGAGACACTTTGCCAATGGAACAAGAAAATTTATATTTAAAATAAACAAAAATATTGCATTGCCTTATTTCAAGTGCATATTATCAAATATGTAATTTTAAGGCTAATTTCATTGACAAATCAAATCATTTACCTACTTAAATTAAGGGTATTTACCCTTAATGGGTATTTACCCATTAAGGGTAAATACCCTTAATTTAAGAAATGTTTACTTATTTCAAGATTGTTTCTGCAGCGCATTGAGTGGTTTCTGCATGCCACCTCTACTGGAAATGCAGCATAGAAGAAGTTCCTACAACTGCTAGGAAAACATACTCCCATCTGGATGTGAAGTAAATCAAGACTCACATCAATAAAAAGAAAAAACTAAATAAAACAAACAAAAAAAGACAATACGATGTAATGTAAAAAAAATATATATATATATATATACGGTATATATATATATATATATATATATATATATATAAAAATAATTTTCTTACTTCCTATGAAAGAACAATTATGCTTTAAATTCATCAAAATAAATATTCTTGTTTCTTGTTTTTGGATATATATTTTGATTCCTTAATCAAATTTCCTTGTAATTTTAAAATGTAGTACCCTGCATATTAAGAGTCTTTACTAACAACAACATAAAAATCACAAAGGCAAATATTTGCTTTAACTAACTTTTTTTTAACAATAACCATATTCTTGAAAGTTAACATTCATCTTGGGGGAAAAACCAGTCTGAAATCAGCTGGGCTGTTTATCCAAGTTAATAGAGTAAAGAAGAAAAAATAAGCAATTGAAGTAAAAAAACAAACAAACAAAAAACAAATAAAATCTGACTTATCATGCCCTTGTAATAATTATTAAGGCTCTGTAACTGTATGCTTTCAATAATACTGGTTTGTCATTCAGTAAAACACAACAAACCTGTCTGATTATCTCAGAAAGTTATGAACATTTGAAACAGAAGTCCAGTAGAAGTCAGCAGGATTGAGAGCAATGCAACATCTTCCTGTTGCTCCCAGCTTCAACCTTTTCTGTGGGGAGTTTGGCTTTTCAAGTGGTTTTAAGGATTATATTGTAAAAATATTACGCAGAAATGATTTAATCAGAACTGCCTTAGCTGTATTTAAAAAACTTGCTGGTGTCTAGTTGCTCTGACCTCCTGGTGTCTTAGGTTGAAAGGCTTCCTGCCCCAGTGCCGATGCAGCTCCAGGATAGCAATGAGGTCCCCAATGGCAGTGAGGATGGGGAGACACAGGGCAGAGTGAACATGGATCCCTGAGTCCTGCCCTGTGCCATCCGGAAACCGCTCGTCCTAAAAAAAACATAGACCAGTTAAAAGTTTAGTTTAACTAAACTGTACTAAACATCAGGCTAAACAATGTTATACAAGAATGGTTGATGGATATCTTAAGAAAGCCTGTAGCCATGCACAAAAATAGCAACTGTGTATTCAACCATTTGGGTTTGTTTGATTGACTTGTTTGTTGAGATTTGTTTAGAATGGTAGATTTTCCATCACAGAAGATCATTGCAGATCTTTTCTTCTGGAATCTGTCTTTGCTCAGACTGACATCTAGCAGAAAACTGCAGTTTGTAATACTCTGTACTCTAACCAAAACAGGCAAATAAGCATAGAAATTACAATAAAAAAGACACTTGATGTTATTTTATGATTAAAAGTACTCATAAACATTTACATTTTCAAAACATTTTGTAACATCACAACCACAAGCTCCTCAATTCCTCATTAAAATTTCAAGTGTCAGATCAACACAGTGGTGAATAATTGTAAAGTGGATAGGAAATTAACAATTTGTTTTCAAGGAACAAAAAAATAGCTTAATGAAAAGCTCAAAATGTAAATTTTTGCAGAACTAGATCAAGCTCAGTCCGAATGCATGAAGACAATTTGTTTAATTCATGTCATTGTTTTTCAGATGGATCTGGGACTAAACCTGGATTAATTAACTGTACCTTGATAAATCAAGCCATTGAAGCTCTGGCTGTATGTTTATGGCTGTTGTTCTGCCAAAGGGTAAACTTCCGCTCCAGCCATGTGCTTTTTGCATCCTCTGACAGGATTACCCTGTTAATGACCTATTCAATCAGCTCTTTTCAGCTTTTATGTCACTGCTAAAGAAAAGCATCCTGACAGCATGCCAGTACTACTGCCAGGTTTCTCAACAGATATGGTATTTTCAGAGTTGGGTTATACAAACATGTATATTTTGATCTCTCCTGATCTACACAAACACATGGCTTGCAGCATCATACAGACAGGTTTTTGAATCTTTTAACAAAAATGTCTTCTTGCCCCCCTGACTATCCAGTGAAAATGTTGTTCCCGTCTCTGATTATTCAGCCTTGTATTGTACAATTGCATTATAATCTTTTCATTTTCATTAATGGATTAAAGAAGAGAATAGAAGTGAAATGTTTTATTCACCCTCCATTGGGAAGACTGAGGATGGTCATTTCAAAGCAAACAAGCAATGGAATCATATAGGTAAACACAACACTATATGATAAAAAAGAACAAATTAAAATAATAAAACTAATTATAAAGTAAACTTTTTCCAGCAGAGGAAACAAACAAGATATTTTGTATCTTAACTGTGTTCCTTGGTGTTTAATGGTGTTTTTTCCCCTCAATAATCAGTGACATTGGGTTTTATTTGGTGGTGTAAGAATAAAGTGGGGTGAATACAAATACACCTTTTAAAGTTATATTTATAACTATATATTAAAATTATATTTTATTTTATTCTGGTCAATCACATTAAATCCAGCTAAAAGACATTGAAGCTTGTGCTTGTAACGTGACAACATATAAAAATATATTTGCATTATATACACTGTGAATATTAAATGTTCCATGGTTTTAGTAAGTTAGTGACTTTATTTTGGTTTAAAGGGAGCAGTCCTACCCCCATAATGTCTTCCACTAGCAGTGTTTTGCGAGTCTTGGCAACATAAGCGGCAATGGTTGTCCCGTATGCGATGGGGCCCGACGGGACGAGGCTTGGATGGCCATCCTTGGCCCCCCTTGGAGTGTATAAACATAAACTCTGTTATAAAAAAGAGAGAAAACAACAGGTGATAAAAAAAATATAGAAAAAGAGAATATAATGTAAACCAAAGGGTCATTTATTACTCACATTGTTGCATTCTCCCAAGAAATAAAGTGCAAAACTATCAGCTTTTGTTGCTGTAGAAAGAGAAGACACAGAAAACACATACATTTGCTTCAATACCACTCACTTCAGCACTCTTACAAATGTCCTCTAATAGTAAAGGGCAGAAATACACAAGGCGGCTGCAATCTAACAATGGCCCACATAGCAACAAGTGTTCCCTGACTGAGGCCTTCACTGCCTTCCAGTTCGTCTCGTTCCCAGTCCTCCTCTACAGTCCTATTTCACACTCCTATATAGGTCATGTTATCATACAGTGTGACATCAGAGAGGCTGCTGGTGCACACAATACACAAATGATCAGGAAGTTAATGAGAGCTGAGCTTTGGGTGGATCGGCATATTTTTAACTGGGTTTTTAACTGGAAGCTTCAACTTACTGACACTATTGTAGATTTCTTTTGGTTAGAGATGAAGTGGTTAACCTCGGACATAACTCAGCTGCTAACAGCGCTATTTACAAATCTCTGCTACTCAAACTTCAAAGTTTGAAATCGTGTAAAGTAAAACATCACAAGCCTATCTCAACAAATTAGGGAACAGATGGAAAAAAATATGAAAGCTGCATTTTATGGGTTTTAGGGCTTTAGAAAGTCACAGAGAGGACCTTTATAAGATAATGGAATAAATGTGTAACAGTGGTGAACCTGACCCAGGAACCAAAATTACTCCAATCGTGCACTGATATTTTTTTCAGAAAGGCACAAAACCCGGAAACAACATCCTAATCATTGCAGACTTCAAAAAATTTATTTAAAGTCTGTGTTCAAGACTACGTGGCATCCATGGGAGAGTCCTGAAGTAAAATCCATTACACCAACAGGAACACAAACGTCCTCTTTTAAACGTACCAAAACCACCTGAGTGAAGCCAAATACTTTTAGGAAAATATTGTGCCTACATTTGTACATATAAAGCGCCATGGTAAAATGCATTTCTTTCCAACAGAAAGTAGCTTTTTTTTCCAGACAAAAGAAAACTTTAAACGGAAATGTGCGGAATAAATGAGTAGCTATTTGCCACACAAATAGCGGAAGAGGGTGAAAAACACTTTTTACCCCAGAATTAACAGAATTGGGAGTCATAACCTCCAGTGAAAGGGATAACCAGTGGCTCAAGACTGGGGATTTTGTTTTATTAGATAACATTTTCTCAGCTAAGTTTTTTTTTTTTCTTTCAGCACAAACATATTTTAATATCCAAAGATTACTGTAATAATTGGGTCATTAACCATTCTTTTTAAGCATCAGTCCAGCCTGTTTAACCAGTTATATGTATCAGAAGTGCTAAACCTTTTTTTCCTCAGTGATTGAGCCAAATGAACATGAGGACAAATTCTGCAGTTTGGGTCTGATTGCATATTAGCATTGGAAATTTAATCTTTTCATTGTTTTGCCTTAATCTTATTCTTTTTAGGGTAAAATAACACTTTGTCGCACAAAATAGACTCGCAAGACGCGAACCGGAAGACACATGGTATCTACCCAACATTTTGACAGCTATAGTTAGGGTTGGGAATTGAAAAGATTTTCACGATTCCGATTCCCTTTTCGATTCTATGAAACGATTCGATTCTTTATCGATTCTTTTTTCGATTCCAATTTGGGGGGAAAAGGAGAACAAACAGTTTGATTATCAGAATCAAATTTGTTTACTTAACTATTGCACAATCTTACAAACTCAACAAGATCAAGATGTCCACAGGAAATGTGAAACTGGAGTAACATCTGTGTTTAAATGAAAAATCAATATACAAGAACAAACTTAATAACCAACAATGTCTAATAACAAATGATGTGATAATAACCTATTTTAAATAACAAAAAATACTAATTATAAAACAGTAGTAGGGAAAATTAACAGTTATTTTGCAGAAAGATGAGCATATCTGCTTTTTCTGGAAGGATACAGGATCTTTCAGGGCTTATGGTGTCTCCAGCCGTGGAGAACACCCTCTCAGATGGGGTGGAGGAAGCCTGCACACAGAGGTAGTTTTCAGCCAGTCCAGATAGCAAAGGCAGCGTATCTTGCTTGTTCCACCACCACAGTGTGGCGCTATCCCTGCAGGGGATGGAGGGCAAGCTTTTATAGAGCTGGATTTCCTGATCTACCCTCTGGGCTAAGGAAAGACGGGGCTTTGATTCACAAAGTGACCGCAGCTCGTTGTCTTCCTCCTCGAATAGTTCTTCCAACTTGCGTAACTTGCGTAACTTACGTAAAAAACGTGACGTAAGTCGTGCTCCCCAGAGCCGGCGCTCTAGGCTCTGGTGCTGCGGGAATCGAAAAAAGAATCGTTCAGTGAGCTGCCAAACGATGCCATGGAATCGGAAAATACGGAACCGGTTCTTAACAGGAACCGGTTTTCGATTCCCATCCCTAGCTATAGTAGATTACCATCATAATTAAACTTGGGTACAAAAAGTGAGATTTCTAACTTTTTCCATTCACTGCCACTAGTCAGTAACAATACAGGTCATAACCAGACTATAAGATGTAGAATTACATTTTTTTTTGTTTTGTTAAAAAATATTGTTATAAGTTGTAACTGTGATTAATTAAAGGCAGAGTGGTCAGTAAAAGTTTATCTTAAAATCGATAAGGTCTCCATGCTACTGCTCCTAGATATCATTTTCCCTCCAACTTCCTCCTTCCCATTGGACAGATCAACATATAAATCTTTGCCTTATTAGCTCACGTTCCAGCTGGAGACTTTGCTGTCACTACCATCATCTTGGGTGGCCTTTATTTTATGCACTGATGACCAGACTGGGTGTTCCATACATATTATGCACGTTTGTTTTTTAAACGCTTACTGACTCTGGAAAGGGGAAGGAATGTAAGTATCATTATCTACAAGCTTTAAAACCGCTGAAAGAAAAAGTTATAAAAAAATGTGATATGTTGCCTTTAAAGACATCTTCAGAGTTATTTTTATCATGAACCCACCCCCACCCTGGTATTCTGTGTTTGACCCCAAGCTCATTCAGAGATGTTTACCCAGGAATTTTTCATATACAAGCACGTTTTTTTTTTTTTTCTTCAGACGAAAAAAGGCTCCTGTGTGACTTTTGTTTAGTAGCATTTGTGTAATAATGTTCCACAAATGGATTTATCTGCTTTTACCTGTTTTGATTATGTTGGATAACTCATAGAGCAGGAGTTTGTTGTCTCCTCCAGTGTCCAGGCGCTGTTCCATGAAGCTGTTGAGTTCATACACCACACCCTGCATGTTTGTGTCCTGGTACTGCTGGACAAAACACAGAACGTGAAAATGACACTGGTTTGAATTTTGTGTTGCATACTGTAGATTTATATTCATCATACAGGAAGCTCATATTTGTCAATCTTTGAGAAAAATTATCATCCTTTTGGCATTCATAAAAATATTATCATCCAGGACACTAATATTCACTCTCACCACTGCATTTTGGCACAAAGATCCCAAGTGGTTTTAGAATATATTTTAACACCCCCCAGTTCTAACTGGAGTCATGGTAAGCCCTGCTGCAGAGCCTCAGCTTTGAGCTTTGGCTGTGCAAAAAGACAAACCTCCGGCCCTTTTTACGAGGCCAAAGGGATGTCTATTTCTGCGGCTGCAGAGAGGGTGAGGACAGGACAGCAGGGAGAGTGGTGCACTAGAAAGCATCCCCAATGGGACGCATTCTGCCCTCCCACATCCTGTTTGTGCAGACGTAAGGATGACGCACTGAGGGGTTAAGGGGACCTCATTTATTTTTCTGTGAGATAGAGTGTAATAAGTTGGTTCTTCTGAGGTGGACCCATCTGATCCTGGGAAAAGGTGTGGCTTAAGGTGTGACACGGGGGAGCTTCCTTTTCCCCCAGTTTCTTTCTAGCTAATTAGTTAGAAAAAAAAATACCTGAGTCTTCAGTGTTAGAAATGCTAACGGAGCAATTAGCAGCTTAAAGTAAACCATTGCCTGGTGCTTGACTCACTGCACAATCGTTTAGACAGCGGACGTTTTTTGTGTGTGGAAAAAAATACATGCAAGTTTAATATTGACAATATATCTGGTATGCATTTGGATTCTGAAACCCTTTACTCTGAAACCCCAACATAAAATCTGTTGCATGATATATAAACCCAGCTGTTTTATTAAGGTGTCATAAAGCAAACAAAACAGTCAGGTATATTCAAATTATGTGGAGAAGCTCAAACATCGGGTGAGGAGATAAAAAATATTCCAATCTTTAAGCTTCTCAAAGTGCTCTGTTTAACCAGTCATGTAAAAATAACGAAAGGATGACACAGCTACCAAAACAATGATTTACACCTAATCTGGCAAGGAGAGCATTTTTTCAGAAAAGGGTGGTAACAGCTTAGGTTAACGGGACAGCGACCCACTGAGTATCTGACATAAAACTTTAGCAGAAGGTTGAATGATTCATTGTTTTTATGATGAAAAGAAAATAAGTAGTTTTTCATAATTCATGAAGGTGGCAGAGGAAGCGTTTGGAGTAGGAAGATGCTCTGGTCATATTCATATTTTAGCAGCATCAAGCTCTGGGAATGTTATTTAAAAAAAAACACAGAAGTTAGTGGGAAATGAGATGTGGATCCAAATACATGCAAAAGACAGTGTACCTGGAAAGTACACTTTCTAGGTTAATAAGCTTAAATCTACAGCCAAAGTCATAATGAATTGGTTCAGATCAAAGTTATACCTCTGTTAATGTAGTATCCTTCATCAAGTTAAGGATCCAAGTTTCAGATTTGCTATATACATGGGCTCTGCAGCAAATCTAATTAAGCTTGTGTTATTTTGCAAAGGAGACTTAGGAAAAAAAAAATTTCTCTAGATGCACAAAGATGGTAGAACCAATACGAGACTTGAATTACTGTCAAATGTTTTACAAAATGTTTTTTAGTAGGGCCTTAATAAATATGCACCAAACAATTTTTCAAATAGCTATTTGCAAATATTCAAAATAAAAAAAAAGCATTGAAATTTTAATTTCCTTTTCCCAGTACTTTGCATATTCTTCTGCATATTCACGAAGGGACACATGGATGGCTCATTTAGCAGACACTATTCTGGCTGCGTCTCTCTCTGATATTAGCGGGTTAATCCAGGTTTTTCAAACACGGGTAAACCGACTAATAATCTGCATTTGGATCCCTTTCCATTGAAATGAAAAAAAAAAAACTTTATTGATCTCACATTGGAGAAATTTACCTCTGCATTTAACCCATCCCCTTGGGGAGCAGCGTGCTGCCATTGTGCAGCGCCCGGGGAGCAGTGTGGGGTTTAAAGGTGTTGCTCAGGGATCCGGAGTGGCAGGCATGGGAGTGGAGCTTGAACTTAGAACCTCTGGAACCCAAACGCAATGCCCAAACCACTAGGCCACCACTCTCCTTGGCAAAAAAACCTGGTCTGACCTGTGGTGGCAAAATGCGTCACCTCTGTTCATCTATCAGGTTTATTAAGTAAGTTTTTCGGCCAGTGGGTAAGGGGTATTAGTACATTAGTTCTGATCCAGCGTTATGGTTTGCATGTGCCTTTTGATACAAAACCCTTTAGTGGATTCGATAATGTATATACAACAGGACAAACTGTGGAAAAACGTAACATTAAAAAAAATGTCTTTGTGTGGCATTTAACTCGATCCAAAACATAAAAATAAGAACCCACCTTGCTGACTTCTTTAGTTGATGTGTCATCTGTAAAGAAAAAAAAAGAGTGTGAACAAACAATGTAAGAAAGTATGTTTGAAAAATAAAATAAAAAGTAATTTTACTAATTTCAGTTTCTTTTAACTCCTACACTAATACCTTTTTTCATAAATATTAAACAAAATCTACATAAATAATATGTAAAATGTAATACAATTCTGACAGTTTGCTTTATTACTGAAGGTATTTGACTATTAACTGCTGTATGCCTTCACCTTTTTGAAAAAAAGATATTGTTTCAATGTGAATGTGAATTTAACTAGATCCCCAAAATTTAGATTTCTCCTTTTCCACTTTGAACCCCCAGCTGACCAATAGGAACACAGCACATTGGCATGAGAAGCAATATTTTAATGTGTCTAAAATACCGCAGATCATAAGCAAGCAAATCATAACTTACAATAGTTGATAATTAGAACTGTTTACAAACTTCGAATATCCCATAGATATAACTATGATGTGGTACAGAGGCCAATTTCTCTTGGCTCTTCTTCAAAATGGAAAAGATATGAGAATGAACCTTTTCAACAGGCTAAATACTGTGTTTTGATTCCTATTAGTCTGGAAAAGGCTACAAAAATGATCCGCTAACAAAAATCAACAACTGACAAACAAGGCTGGATAAAGAATCAGGTTTTCCTTCCCATCACAGATAACAAGAAGAATACTGATTTATTTATTTATTTATATTTTATTCTACCAGGGGGAAAAAAATCCATCAAGATTTTTAATCTCATAGGAGGAATTTTTTGCCAAGCAAAATATGAAATATAATAACAAGTAAATGGATTCACAAATAAAAATCAAGAATTTCTGCAGAAGACGTTTATTAGAATTGTACACTTGTCATTTGTGCAGCTAAACTCAACTTTAATATTTACTCAAGCTACTAGAAAAATGTTTTTACATTGAACCCATCATCTGATTTTCAAAAGAACTATTAAACTATACATAAAAAAATACAAATTTCTTATATATTGCAGATAGATGCAGAGAAAATACACTGAATTTGAGTTTAAGGATAACAGATGGTAGACAACTGCCAATGCAGGTCAACCAATAACCAACCTAGACAAACAATCCTAATACATTTTAAGCTTAAGATAAAAAAAATAATCATGTTTTTTCTTAAGATTAATAAATCTTAACAAAGATGTGAAGTGGCTATTTGAAAGTAGGGTGTTGGCTTCTTAGTAAATTAGCACAATGATAGCTTAAAATGAACTGACAGCAGAGCCTGCAAATTAGCAAAACCATATGAGGTTCTCCCAGCCGTATTTGGGTATCCAAAGGTTTGCAATAAAAGCAAAAAGTAATGAATTTGCAATATTTCACAAAAATGACTCATATGAATTATTTCAGTTTTTTTTTTTTACTGAAGAAAAAAAACAACAACTTTTAATGCCAAAACTGACATTTTGGGGGTTCAAAGTTTGGAAAATATACAAAAACAAGTTGGGTATAGTTAAAACTAAATTTTATAGCAATCCATTAAACATTATTGGGACATTTCTTCATTAGCATTAATTTATATGGCCATCTTAAAAGACTTTTTTTGCAATGCAGGCAAACAAGTGAGGCCCTAAAGAGAGTGACCAATGAGAAAGAAAAACAAATGAAGTATCAAAAACACTTAAGAAAATTTTATTTAACTGAAAAACACTATGTAGGACTATAAAAATATTTAACAAGAAAAAAAGAGAAGCACATAATGTAAAACAAAGTCTTCTGTTTTCAAGAATAACACTCCATAAAGTCCAAACTATAGTAAAACCAGATTATAACATATAACTCAGATCTTAACATGTTTTTGTGTTCAAAGTAATTGCGTGTGAAGAAAACTTCTTCTGCTTCATAAACTAAGTGCTGTGGTTTAAAGCTACTTTTTAATGCTAACTGCTAAAACATGCTTCCCAGTGCTCAGGTCTCTCCCACATAGCTTTCGGTCTGAGGTAGGGATGAGCTGAAAGCGTCACACCTCACAGACACAGACTTAAAGCGACAATAAGGGTATTTCTTTAACAGCTTTTTCACAACAAAGATTTGTATATTGTGGTGGATAGGGGAAACCCAGGTTTACTAGATCACATCATCCACAGATGAACAGCTAGAGTGTTCCCCAACATAGAAATCAATTGGCCTCACCGGTAGAGAATAAAATCATATCTTTGCATTGGCATACTGTCAACATGTTTCATCATGGTGATATCATCCATCCTATAAAAGCAATTTGTTATAAACTTTCTGTAAAACCTATGGAGGAGTGATTCATTAATCCTTGTGCTAAAAGTAATTGCTTCACCCATGTCTCTGACTCAGAAAACCTTTCTGACCTGGAGTGTAGTTTACTGTTTTCAGCTGTTGTGTTTTGATAAGATTCATATATATAGAAAAAGATAATTTGTTAAATGAGAGTCAGCTTGGGTTTCGAAAAAACAGGTCCACAGCCTTGGTGTTAATGAAAATCACAGAGCATATCACCACAGCGATTGAAAAATAAACAAAGCGCTATTTATCGACTTAAAAAAAGCCTTTGACACCATAAACCATAATATTGTGTTAAAAGAATTAAATATTAAATATTACAATCTATATTATTTGCTGATGACACAATTTTTTTTCATGTCAGTAAAATAATTTGAAGCACATGAGTGAAATAACTGAAAAAAATGAATGTTAAAAATAAAGGATCTGTTTGATAAAAACAAATTATCACTCACTGTAGCAAGAAACAAAACTGCAAATTAGAAGTGGATATCCTTTTGTCTTTATACTGGCAAAATACGGAAGGTTTTCTCATTTGAGATTTTTGGGTGTGACACTGAAAGAAAAATTCAACTGGTAATCCCATGTACACTGTATAAAAAGAAATTATGTAAAAATAATGCCATCCTTCATAAAGTAAATTTTTTTTTTAATTGTATAGCACTGAGGCTTTTATATTGCACAATAATACTTCCTTATTTTATTTATTTAAGTTTGGGGAAAGATACACAACTACTATCCAACCTTTGATAATAATTCAAAAAAAGCAATACAAATTACTAACAAAACTTATAGAAGAGAACGTACATCAGTTATTTATACAATCAAAACAATTATAATAACAAGACCTTATAAAATTGCAAACATTAATCATAATTATAAAGCAAGAAATTCTCTTTTGCCTCAAACAGTACAAAGTATGTTTCTAGTTAAACCCAAATTCATCCAGTAATAGAAAACGTAACTTTTGTCATTGCTTCGGTTCTGTTTAAGCTTTCTCTTTGAGTTTTCATTTTTTAAAATTTTCATTGTGTGTTATTTTTTTATTGTATTTGAGTTCTTAGGTATTTCTTGTTCGCCCTCTGTTGCCCTCCTGTGTCAGTCTCCTTCCCCCTAGCTCCCTTCTAGATTCGTCTGTCCACACCTGCTTCCAATCTGCTGATTAGCCTGGTCTTTTTTTCTGTCTCCCATATTTACACCTCCTATTCAGTTACTATTTGCTGGTTCATTGTCATCTCTTTGCCCTTCTTGTGAGTATTCCTGGTTTTCAGTATTTTGTGAATTTATGTTTTTGAATTTTTGCTTCTGCTGCCACCTTTTATATTATATCTGCAAGAAACCACCATTTGCATTTAGTTTCCTCCTCTCTAACCCCCTCCCAACCTGACAGCTTTAATCTCCCTTTTGACAGAACGACCCAAAAGCAGATGGGTATCTCCATGTTTGGAGTCAAACTGTGGAAATAATATAAAAAACTCCTCATCTGTTTATCAATTTAAATTGATAATTAATTATTATATGCTGCTATAGAATATGTAACATAAGAAATACATGTAACTTTGATTTTTTTTTTGTCAAAACATGACATGCCTGTGTGGCTTGAAGTTATATTGTAAATTGCAAATCAGACCATCTTTTATATTCTGTTTTTTGTATGTAGAAAGGGGCATATATTTTGTGCTCCTTTTCATTCATATAAACAACATACAATGTGAAGCTATTCATGGAAAAACCTTTAAAAAAATAAGCAAATGACATGACTGAAATAAAATAATGATTATAATGATAATGATTGATTTAGTGACAGTAACACAAGTTTCAATCAGTCCCAATGTTTCTGCAATGTCTTGAATCTCTGCAAACATGCAGCTCGAGTGGCTTTCTATAATCTTTGGTTCAACAGCGCACCAAACAGAAACTGCTGGGGCTCATTGGTCATGTTTCATATGAAAACTACAATGCATAAAGCTTAGAAATACAAGTTAAAGGGCTGCCCTGAGTTCTTACTTGTCTGAATCGAGCCCCCTCAACATGTGAAGTATTTTTACAGCCAGCCAGATTGTTTGTTATTTTACACATTCCTCCAGTACACTATGAGTTTCCTAACTTAGCCATGAGACTTATTTTAGAGTGAACCCCTGGCCAGGCGTGACGTCAATCAAAGGATAGAAATCTGCACTTGAAAAAGATTTCAAATCCCTTTATAAAGCAAAGCGTTTCTTTTAGACACAACCTTTCCTGACTTCTAGAGGTTTAAATATTTCAGACACAGATGTCTTCGAAGAGTAAATCTGACCAAACTAGTGTCTGGGAAGTAATTAGAGCACAAAACTGAGGAGTAGGAATAATAAGACCAGCATAATGATGTAAATTGCTGTATGGTGTGTGCATGATTATCATATAGGAGGATATACATTATTTAATTTGACATAAGCACTATTAACAATGGCAGAGAACCATGTTGACTCCTCTTGCATGAATAGCATCATTTCTAGAAGCGCCTCCAAGTCTTAGCAACCTAGCAGGGAAGCAAAAAATTCTCCCTTACTCCATTTTGTTAAAAAAACGAATTCTTTTTTTTTTCTAGGTGTCCATCTAGTTCACAGATATTTCAACTAAAAGTAGAGCTAAAAAAAAACAGCTAAAGAATTTAACAAACTTTGGCCTTGGGGTTACAGTGTTAATAAACAGCAAACCAGCCCGATCTTTCTGTTCTCAGCAGC